CCTGGTACTTTAGGGGCCGATTTTCTGACATCACTCCTGGTACTTTATGGGCCAATTTTCTGACATTACTCCTGGTACTAACTATGGTATTACTGGAAAACCCAGTAATAATTAGGAAGCACATTCAGAAAGGGAGTTTGAAAAGTTTCATGAAGGACATATTCACACAGGTATACATATACTCAGGAAGAATTCTCTTCCTTGTTGGATCTTTTGATGATAGCCACACCTGTGTGAAAATGGTACCTACAGGAACAGGTTTGGCAAGTAAGAGTAAAGGCATAAATACCTTTACCAAGTGCTTGCTGAAAATCAGCCTACTGAGACATAAGACAAATTAAGAGAGATTGCAAAGTATCAGGAGGGGCAAACAGGAGAGTCAGCACAAACACCAAGCACAATGCTGCACATAATGGATTCTGAGACTATAGGCTGAGAGAAGTTAATCCACCTGCTCAAAGCCATAGAGCAAGAATAAAATAAATCAGGGATTCAGAAATACCAATATACATCACAATCTCCAGATATCCAGGGCAATATTCTTGTCATTTAATGAGATTGATGCTTTCAAGTTACTGGCCCTGCTTTGCAGTTTTACTAAATGAAAGCAGAGAAATATCATTTCTTAGACAGAATATCCGAGGATCAGAAGTGATAACCACTCTCTCAATAAGATAACCATGCTTTTGCATGAAATAAGAAATAAGATACAGTGACACCAGTGCCCATATACCCTTCATGAACATAGAAGATAATATTTGTCTGGTGCAAAGAATACCTACCATTGCCTTCTGCAGCTGATCTACTGAGTGATTAGTCACATTTGTGCCATTGATTTCTAGGATCTCATCTCCAACATGAAGTGAGCCTGCCATTAAACAAACAAACAAAAAAAATTCAGACTTCCAGTCTGGGCCCGAGCATAGAGCAGGTCACAGGCGGCAGCTCCGTACCCAACCCCAGAAAACCGAGAGAAAGAGGGAATCCCAGGAGCTTTAACTCAGGCAGCATCCCAGGTAAAAATGAATCACCCGTGATGTCTGCTGTTAGAAGTTCTAATCCAGATGCTGGCCTCCGAACTTATACTACTCAGACCTTTGAAGGGCCACTGACAAGAACATCAAACAGCTAGAGATTGACATCACTAATCTGAAGAAATCCCTCGTTTCGCTGTCTGAAGAGACCTCCAAAAATCACAAAGATCCTTATTGAACTTGATTTACTCTAGTACAATAGAAAAGGCTGTGTACAGCTCTTGACTGTGTATAACCCTCAAAGAAGAAGGTTGCCTTTACATAGACAAGACAAGGAGGGTTAAAGAGAGCATGAAATAGGTAGTGAAGGCCCTAAGAAAAATCAGAGAGAGAAAGAGACAGATGAAGGATGGTACAAGAATTGGTTTGCAGCCTCTCCAAGGTTGTCAACCCTATTTCCTTCCATCTTGGGACCATTATTTGGGTTCTTTTTGCTTTTTTTCTGCTGGTCCCTGGCCCTCAAATAGGTGAACTAACTCTGTGATACAACAGATAAATAATTTGGTAGCAAAACCTACTCAGATACATTATCATAAGTTAGCTATGGAGGACCACGAGACTCAAGATGAGGTTGTTACTTTATACAGGGTGTTTCCAAAACCCACCTCCACCCAACCTAAAAGGGGGGACTTCTGCCCCTAGACCAAGCAGAGAGGGGCCACCCAGAACCCCCTCTGACAGGCGATCTGAATTCTTGCTTAGGCTAAGCACTGCAAGGGAATATAAATAAAAGATAAAAATATCTATCTGGGTTCCCTGAGGGACAAGCCTGACTGCATAGGGGTTGATGTCAAAAGTATCCCCTCCCCAGGAAAAAGACATCAGGACGGGTATGGCCCTCATGCCTCACTGAACAACAACAGGGGGACTGGAGCCATTACAAGGTCCCCTTCAAATACTGGAAGTCAGGCCTCTATCCCTGCCTTTGCAAGTTTAGAATTGCCACAGCCCTTCTATACTTAGAGAAGGGAGGAGATGTCAGGGGCAGCCCTGCTTACACACTGAAGGCCTAAAATCAGCCATAGGCCTAAAATCAGCAATAGGCCTGTCATACATGTATACTAACACCAAGTCTTGGGTCTCGGTGGAAAAACATTGAAACAGATGGCTATAAGCTAATGTCAACAGGCAGCTTTTGTGGAAATTTACAAGCCTGAGTATTCATAGACCTTGTAAATAGGTAGCCTTGGCAGACAATACCAACTTAGATAAGGACAAGCGAGTCGTAGGCAGAGTCATAGTGACTTGTCCCCTGAACCTTCACCTAGCCGATACCCAGTTCTGAAGATATCTGTATTCCTCCTGATCACCCACACTCCAGTGTCATTCCCTTCCCCACATCCTGCCTTTCTGTGTTTATAACCCCTGTGTGAATTAATTACGATTTGAGAAAAAATAAAAAAAAGTCTAAAAAAAAATTCAATGCACAAAATAAATAAAAATTGAAATAAAAATTCAAACAAGAGCTGTTAGTATAGCTCAAGAATACCACATAACAAAAACTACAATTTAAAACATTTTATAAAATAAATAAAATTCAGATATTAGAAGTATTCAACCAGGAGAGATAAAAACTAACTTGGTTCTGAATCTATTTAGCACAGTTCAATACTGCCTCAGGAGACTTGGACACATGTACATACTATAAAGAATAATAAAGTTAGGGAAAAAGATCTCAGTATTCCCCATTAATCAGTTAGTTCAATGTTTCTTTGTTAAACACATATTCTTAGATGGTTAGTCAATGTTAAAATTCTATGTGAAGGATGGTTACCAAATTCATGTCATGTTACCTTGGATGAAAAAAAAGTTAAACATAAAAGGGTAGGACCTAATGAGGAAGGAGGCTCAATGGAGTAGCCATAACCCCAACATTGGGAATAGTTTCTGGTTTCTAATACCGTATAGGTTATCACCAGCTGCTGAAAATGTTATATTTTAATTTATTATTCTGTTCTCTCATTGCTCCCTAAATTATATTTTAGTAAATGATATATCTGAAAATTGTTAGCACTCTAACATTAGGGAAATACAATAATTAATTATGTCTACTTAAATTTGGTTTTCTCATTTAAGCTGTTAGCTTCAGGAGGGTAGAGATACAGCTTTCTTTACTGTTACATATCTGTCTTATGTAATGGGAAAATGTAGTAATGATTCACTTATTAACTAAAAAGGAAAGTATATATAAGAAGGTGCAGAAGAGCTGGGCAGTGCTGGTGTATGACTTTAATCCTAGCACTTAGGAGGAAGACACAGGCAGATCTCTGTGAGTTTGAGGCCAGCCTGGTCTCAACAGAGAAATCCTACCTCGGGGAATGTGTGTCTGTGTGTGTGTGTGTGTGTGTGTGTGTGTGTGTGTGTGTGTGTGTGTGTG